CCAAGGTGATGAAGATGGCTGCCACCATAGCCAGGTAAGTACCCCTGGCTGTCTCTTATACACATCTAGATGTGTATAAGAGACAGGAGAGAGAGAGAGAGAGAGAGAGAGAGAGAGAGATTTTTTTTTTTTTTTTTTTTTTTGTGTGTGTGTGAGAGAGAGAGAACAAAGTCTCCAACCTCGTGGGTGGTGCATTGAATCCGAACTCGCTAAAACACGCAGCTATGAACTTGTATTCTAACATGGGTGGTGCGCTGGCCTCAAACACGCTGAAAAGGGCTGCTATGAACAGCGCGAATGGCGCACCAGCCTCGAACACGCTGGAAAGGGCTGCTATGAACAGCGCGAATGGTGCGGCGGCCTCAAAGACGGTGAAAAGGGCTGCTATGAGCAGTGCGAATGGAAACAAAGCGCTGCCGCCGAAGATTCGTTCTCCAAGGACAAAACAAAACAGCCCACCAACCAACTGCACATGGGGCCAGAAGATGCGGAAAAAAAGAAAAAAATAACAACTCAGAGTCTGCAGCTATGTACTTGTATTTGAACGTGCGCCTGGATATTTGCGACGCCGCCAGCCAGTGCAGCCGACACAACGCTGCGGACCCAACAGGGAATGACGTTTTCCCAACACTGGCAGCCGGGCCTCGCGGGAGCGTTACGCGAGACCCAGCGTACACTTTAATAAGAGTATAGATAATGGCTTATCCACTACCTCTACCCTTTCGAGGTGAAGAGAACGTATGCATACAGTCCTTATCGCTGTATGTGGACTGATAGTTACCCCAAATACAGGGGGGAAGGCGTACAGTCCTTACCGCTGTATGTGGACTGATAGTTACCCCAAATACAGGGGGGAAGGCGAATAGAGTGTATGTATACAGTTGGTATTGCTGTATGTACACAGAAGATTACCCCGGATGCAGGGGAATATGATGACCATACGTTGCATTCTGTGATAGGCATGATAGCGGGTTTATTCATCGCTCGAAGTTCGTCGGAACGGTCCACAGACGATATTGTCAGAACAGCGAATGTTCTGCTAGCATATGGATGGAATACAGGAGCTTCAATTTTTCTTGGGTGTTTGGCTGAGTGGTGCGGTGAGCCCCTTACTTCGCATCCCCGGCCCCGTCGTCGTCGGGTGATGCGGTAAGCCCCTTACTTTGCATCCCGGGCCCCGTTGTCGTCTGTCCACAGACAGACATGTAATGTCGTCAGCGTCATTGTCAGAATCCCAGAGGTGTGTTCAACGATGCACTGCCATAACCCGCCGGATGTTTGGCTTGATTGAAACTGGAATTCTGTGTTGAGAGCGTTATGAGGGTATGAGTGTCACTTCAGTACTCAACATTCTGTATGTGTTTGGACGTGTTTTGGACCAGGTGCATTTGGACGAGTGCAACATTTTTGAATGTAATAGTGTTTGTTGTGTAGTGGACCGAGGCCCTATAGCCCATGCAACAGTGTTCTGTCCTTATACATTTGTATCGCTATGCCGACAGTCAACGTTGTGCTCATGCGTGTCACCCTCACATGGCATGTTCAAAAACTTGGAGAATGAGATGTGCTACGAATCATTCCTTTAGAAAACATATTTTCTGCAACATATCCACTCATAGTTGGGAGAGCTAAGGAGGCTAAATTTCATAGACGGGCTGTAACGACCAGTTTCTTGCCTATGCTATTGTGATGTGTATACGATTGTGATGCCTCTGGATTTTCTTGCCTATACGATTGTGATTGCTATCTGTGTGTTCCTAGCATGTCGCGAATTGCTTTGCCTGTGACTTCTTCTCTGCTCCGCTCTATTTGACACAGTGACTGCAACTGGGAGAATGGGAGGAGGGAGGTGGTTTGACAGGACACACCTGAACCGCGCCTGTCCGGTTTGCAGGGGTGGCCACTTACTTACCGTAGCCAACACCCCTGCTCCTCACGCTGTGTGGAAACCCTGTAGATTGTTCTCTCGCCTCCTGCAGCTAATTGATCATTGAGTAAATGATAGTGTGCTCCTTTTTTGGTGAAAGCTAAGCCTCTAAACCCAACATTTCCTTTCTGTGTCTGTGTGTGTCTGTGTGTGTGTGTGTGTGTGTGTGTGTGTGTGTGTGTGTGTGTGTGTGTGTGTGTGTGTGTGTGTGTGTTCGTAATATACGTTTCCTCCCCCTTGATGTTCTGCTTTCTTCCTCTTCTCCTCCTCCTCCTCACTCTCATCCTGTCGCCACGTGTACTAGCAATCATCGTCCTGGACCTCTCTTTGTTCCTCTTGCGCTTATCCAACCACCTGCAGCTCTGGAACACCTTCCTTCCTGTTATGTATGTGACTGTTTCTGTCTCGAACAGCTTACCTGTTCTGTTGGCTGACACACTTATCAGGTGGAAATCGTTGCCGCAGTGCAGCAACGAAGTGTCTCCGAACTCAGGAGAGAACAGCTGTCCCCAGCTCGGATGTCTCAGGGCTTTCAATTGGCAACGGTCAGACAGCAATGCTTGCTATGGAGATACCCACTCCTCCTGATAGCACCTTCAGTGTTTTGTACTTAGTAAGATACCGACTCTCCCGGGTAGTACCTTCAATGTTGCCTACTTAGTAAGATACTAAGTAGTGAGATACTTTGTATGGTACTTGGTAAGATACTTTGTATGATACAGTCTCCTTGATAGCACCTTCAGTGTTACGTACTCGGTAATATACCGAGTCGCCTTCATAAGACTCCCAGTTCTGTTTACTTTATCGGATACTTAGAAAGATACTTGGTAAGATGCTTGGTACGATACTTAGGAAGATACTTCGTAAGATACCGAGACTCCTTGATTGCACCTTCACAGTTGTATACTTAGTCAGATACCTAGTTGCCTTGATTCTACCCTCGATGTCACCTACTTAGTAAGATAGTAAGATGAATTATTCTTGATAGCACCTTCAGTGTTGTGTAGTTGGTACGAGAATTTAGTTTCTTTCATAGTACCTTCAGTGTTGCGTACTTAGGAAGATACTTAGATACTTGGAAAGATATTTACTATTTAGTAAGACTCCGATTCTCTTTGATAGTACTTTCGATGTTGCATACATCCTTTTTTTTTGTTTTTCTTTTTTTTTTAGAGCATTTCTCAATTTATGTCTGTCATCCTTGCGCGCAGGAGCCATGCTAATCTTCTCTGTATCGTTCCAATATCGATGTCCCGAAAGGCATTGTTGCAGACTTCCTAAGATACATAGAAAGGTACTTAATGAGATACCGAGTCTCCTTGATAGCACCTTCATTGTTGTGTGCTTAGTAAGATACTTAGTCTCCCTGATGGTACCTGATGGTACCTTTGATGTTTCGTACTTAGTAAGATGCCTCTTACCCTATTGCTGCTCGACGCTGATGGTATCGTTGATGTTTCGTACTGAGTAAGATGCCTCTTACCCTATTGCTGCTTGGCGGGGTTGACGCTCTTCCTGCAGTCACTTCTCCAGTTCCTTCACTTTGTCGTTCCCACTCCTCCAGTACCTTTACGTGGCCCCTCTTCCGTCCCCTCCTCTGTCATGCTCAGCTTGTCCGCTTCCCCTCTCTGTATCTCGCTACTGTTTCTCATCTTTTCTTGGCGATCATCTCACACTGAGTTTCTTCATTCCAACCCTCTTTTCAATCTTCCATAGTATTACTCTCTTCTAACTCTTTATCCTTCATTCAGTTATGGCCTTTCTGCCCCCTGAAGCCCTGAAAGGGCAGGGTGTGCATAGTGATCCTGAGGGGTTAGGGGTTTAGGGGTTAGGGTAGGCTCTGATATCGTCCGCACAGGCCCTAGACTATATAGACTGCTTTGGCTGGTACCTGCTTAGACCAAGCCTATTGCTACTGGGCCTCTAAAAATGCTACTTTTGTCTTCTTCTGCTTGGCCTACAGTCCCCGACACATCTACTGCTACTCGAGTGGTACCGGCCTACCTACTACTTAGAGTGTTTGTCCCCGCTGCTCTTAAGTGTCACGGGCCTATTCCCACCACTCGAGTGTTTTCCCCGCTGCAACCCTCAAAGTCATGGCCACAGGTACCGGCCCTGCGGGGCCTCCCAAACAAACAAGTGCCCTTGTGGGTCACACACACACTCAAGCCGACAAGCACTCAGACAGGCACACAGACCAGCAAGCACGAACACACACACATAATTAGGAAACTCGGCAGAAAGTTGGAATCTCAGCAAGGCATTCATTCTAGCGGCAAAACTCAGAAATCAGCTGTGTTCTCAGTCCGTCTTTTGACAGGTCATTACACGTCTATGGTTTGTGATAATTCATGGAGGGAATGAGAGAAAGGATTTTTTTTTTCTTTCCCCAAAACAGACACACCATGGATGGTTTGTGATGATTTGTGGATGGAATCAGAGAGAGAGAGAGAGGGAGAGTTTGATTTTTTTCCGAAAAACACCACATTCCGGTCTTGCTAGCTCTCTGTCCTGGCAGATTTGAGCAGTTATTATCGGGCTCGTATTCTTCTTTTGTGGTTGGATGTTCTGATGGTTGTTTTGTCTATTATACATGGCCGACTTCTTTGGACTGATTAGGTTTGAGCATGGGATGTATCTTTGATGAAGGAATGTTTCTGGGTGGCCACAAGTTTTTTAAGTATAGGAATGTAGGTTAAGAGTTTTGGCGACTGTACCTCTGCAAGGAGGCTCAGAGAGTGTCTGCTGTGGGTGTCATTCCCACAGGCTTCTCTTTCGGAGCACATGGAAGTAATGGGGGCTTCTAAGGTGTTTTAAGCAGCAGCACTCTCGGTGCCGCCTGGAGATCTCACAGAGTTTGAGATTATGGCACTCTATACACTCCGGGGGTTTGACAGCAAAGTGAAAAACGGGGGGTTGTCTAGCCAGGGAATGATAGAGAGGATGGTGACGCGAGTGGGTCATTTGGGATGAATAGCAGCGTCAGTGCTGTTGTACTTGTGCAATTAATCTTGTGGCTTTGTGGACCGATTCAGAGGGCTCTCAAATTTTTCCAGACCATTGGCGGATGTGGTCGATGCTTTCTTGTTGGTGGTGCCTTCTGTGTTGAGTATGCTGCCTTTTTCTCTCCATCCTTTTGTGGCCAACCATGCATCTTCTACTATATTGCCTATCTATACCTTCTTTTGTTTCATGGATGGTTTGTGGATGGAATGAGAGAGAGAGAGTTTGGGTTTTTTTGAAACACACACACACAGAACACACAGATGGAGGGGGGGCGCGCACGCGCAAGAAAGAGAGAGAGAGAGAGAGAGAGAGAGAGAGAGAGAGAGAGAGAGAGAGAGAGAGAGAGAGAGAGAGAGAGAGAGAGAGAGAGAGGATTGATGTTGACATTCTTCTGCAGATAGATGTTCTCCCGCTTGTGGAAGTTCTGCTGATTTCCATCAGACCAGACAGATGAGACGGGCGCCACGGTGACCCCGACTTTGACAAGCATTTCCACCAGACAGAAAGACCTCGTCGAATCACCGCAGCACCTCAGTAAGGTCGCGTAACAAATCCTTTCGAAGGGCTGCTTTATCTTCATGCTTCAGTGGAAAATGCTTCGACGGAATCGCAGGTGTCTGTCTCCTTTCATTGGCTGTGTTGTGGCTTCTCCGACGAATTGGATCAAGAATTTGGATTTTCTGACCAGTCTGGTAGCAGTGTGAAGTCATGGTACCATAATACTAGCATTTAATTACGCTTACTGCGTTGTCCTTGTGTTTGCTTTGCTGCTTTTGGTTTAGGGTTTACGGAGATCGTTGTAAGGGCGGCAGAGTGTGCTCCTCGATGATGACTTCCAGAGGGAAGCATCATAGGAAGAGGAAAAGGGAGAGGGTGTTGGAAGGACAACAGGAGGTCAAGAAGAAATCCCGGGTGGACAGACGAAGGCGGAAGAGAGCAAAATTGTCCTCGTCATCGAGGCAACAAAGTCTGCAGAACGTGTCAGGAACACGACTCCGACACTTGCGTTTTCAGAAGCTTTCGCGCTCTCGCTCGCGTTGGCAAGGGAAGGGGAGGAGCCCTACTGCCTGCTCAGCAGGGGAGACAAAGAGGCTGGGCTCACAGAGACGAGGGCAGACCGCGCACAGGGAGGAGCGCGGATCAACCGGGGAAGGAGCGCACTTGAAGGAGGCTGGAACCGTTTGTGAGTTGGAGATGGCAGTTGCAAGACCTCTCTGTGTGTCTTACCTCACCACAGGAACGTGTGCATCGGGATCTCTTTGTGCCTTCTCCCATTATGTTGGCAGCGCACCTCATTCTGGCATGGGCAGCACATCTGTTGAGAGGGGCGGGGGCGGAGGAGGAGGATCGGGAGGGGAGGGTGCGAATATGATGGGAGGAGGAAGTGGGGGTGATAATATGTTTCGTTCGGAAGGTCGTTATCGCCTATCATCAGTTGTGGTTCTTCCATCCTCCGACAGTTGCAATGCAAGTATGGGAGGAGGAGCGGAGGTGCAATGGGGAAGTATGCAAGGAGGAGGGGAGGGGCAATGGGGAGGAGGGCGTGCCACACATCATCAGGGCCATGTCACTCTGTCAGGAGATGTGTGTGGTAATCGGAATGAATGGCCAGAGCTTGGTTCGTCGATGGCGAAAGGAATGGAGATGAGGTGTAGTACCATCAGCAATGATGTTAGTCATGGAAGGGGTACTCGGATGGACATGGTTGGGGGATCAGGGAATGGGAACAGCAGGATAGCTGCCTTTCAGACGGCTATGATCGATGGGAATTGGGTGAGCAACATGGGAGATGCTGGGGGAGGTGATGGATATGGGAGGTGGGGTGACGGGAGGGGGGGCGTGACTTCCAACAGATGTGGGCAGGATATGGGTGTCCCGAGCCGGGGAGGGCAGATGAGTGGCAGCTCTGGTTTTGCTCTCTCATCTCCAAAAAGAACAACGGACTACTCAAGCGGGCAGTCTTTACCCCCTCCGGAGTCTGGATATGGAGGGCAAAGGTATGAGCCACCTTCAGGGATTAGGTATGGCAGAGGAAGCAACAGATCAATAAATGGACATGAGAGTGGAAACATGGAGTCAGTAAGCGGTAGATTGGAAGGACAAGGACTGCCGCGGCACACGTCGTTTGGTAGATCGACCGTGAGCCACAGTGGTGATCGGAGAGTCGGTGGCAGTGGGGCCGACAGATATGGCTGGGTGGGGAACAATGGTGGTGCTGCCGGGCCACCGGGTGTGTGGGGGACAAATACGGCTATCTTCGGCGGGAGCTGCCCCCCCCAGGCGAGCGGTTGGTACAGTGGTAGAGAGGCAGGCTGAGGAGGTGAAAGAGGGCGTGGGGCAGGAGGAAGACGTGAAGGCGGGGGGGGGGGAGGGGGGGGAGGGGGGGGAGTAGGGAGAATTGGGATTGGGGGGAGGAGGGGGAGGAGGGGGTGGAGGACGATGGACGGTGGGAGGCGGTGGAGCCGGGGGGTGGGGAGGAGGAGTCTGGGGAGCAGGAGGAGGAGGGTGGGGAAATGGAAGCAGAGGCTGGAGGGACAATTCACAGGGCTTGCAGGAGTTGCAGGAGAGGACCTGGTCATATAGACATAGCTCTGGGCCGCCTTCAAAGTCTCAGAATGATGTGGCAGGCATTTCCCTGTTTTCTGAACGAAGGGATTCGTTTGTGTTTATGTCTTATAATATCCTCGCCGGATCGTTAGCCGAGGAACACTGGCGTGAGTTGTATTCTCGCATTCATCCTGACTGCTTGGCGTGGCCCAACAGAAGGAAGAAAATTTTAAAGGAGATCGTGTTTGTTCAAGGTGATGTGGTTTGTCTTCAAGAGGTGGAAAATTTTGGTGAGCTAGAGACTGAGCTCTCGAAAATGGGTTATCAGGGTACGTATAGATCGAGGACAGGAAATCGCTCCGACGGGTGCGCAGTCTTCTGGAAGACCGAAAAATTCAAGATGCGAAAGACGGAAGTCATAGAGTTCATAGAGATGGGCCTCCGAGATAACGTGGCGCAGCTAGTTGTGTTGGAAAGCATTGCGAGAAGTGGAGGGGGGAAGCAAGAGAAGGCTAGTGTGGAGTACGTAAGAAATCAGGAAGATGATGAGGAGGGGGACGATTGCCGGGTGATTACAGGGTCAAAAGTGTCAGCAAGAGATGTGGGGGGTGAAGATGACATGTTGATCTGGAGTAAAGATAGGAAGGAGGGCAGAGGTGGCGAGGAGCCACCGCAGCAGCAGCAGCAGCGGTGTCGGAGGAAAAAGAGGAGGAAAAAGATGGTTGTCGTCGGGAACATCCATGTGCTCTTTAATCCTAAGAGAGGGGATATCAAAATGGCACAGATTCGGACTCTAATTGATCGGGCTCGTGAATTGGCATCCAGTTTTGGTAATGATGTCGATGTGGCGGTTGTTCTAGCTGGCGATTTTAACTGCAGTCCCGGCAGCCCTCTATACCAGTTCATATCGAATGCTGAGCTGGACTGCAGCACAGTTGATCGGCGAGCGATGTCGGGAGTTACCGAGGGCATGCAAGTTCCTAACACTGCGATGAATGCCAATTCCAGTGGGTGGCCGTACGGGGGCAGACGACATGGTCCTCGCTCTGGAGCTGGTGGACCCAACACTTATTCGACACCATCCCTTCCTTCATCTGTTGCAGCAACCCTTCTGCAGCAACGGAATGGTCCCGCTCTGGGGGGGAGAGAAAAGTTGGACAAGACAGTGGTGCCAGACTCTGGTTCGGTTGTGAACAAGAAATCAGTTTTTCAATCAGCATGGGGAGAGTTGGTGAAAACCGATGAGCGAGGGAGCGAGCGAGATCGAACGACAGTGTGCCCTGACACTGTGGCCGAGATTGAAGACAGCCTCGGTGTGATCAGTCTAGTATCGGATGGGAAGAAGGACGACAAGAGGAAGGGTGATGGTGGTGGTGGCAAAAGGAACGAGCGAAGTGTAGGTAGGGTAGAACCACTGGTGGTTGGAGTGTCTGATGATGATGATGATGATGACTGTGTGATTGCTGGGGAAAAGGAGAAGGGAGAGGGGAGAAAGCGTGAATTGCAAGAAGCTATCCTAGCAGGGTCGGGCCTTAGGGAGAGAGTGGGGGATAAGGCTGTGAATGATGTAGATGTGGTGGATATAACAGAGGATGATGATCAGAGACTGGGAGGAAGAGGGAGGGTTGGAAATGACAGAGGCTCTGGGAGACGATTACAACAAGAAGTGGTGAGTCATAAACGACAGCAAGTTGGGGAGAAATCGAGCGTGGTAGATCTTGAAGATAGTGAGGATGATGACACTGAGCAAGTGGCAGACAAAGGAGATAAAGAGGAGGAATGCGCAGTGATTTCGGAGGCCGAGTTTCTTGTAAAAGGCGACCATCATACGTCGTCGTTGCCTCGTTCAAGGGCGGTGGTCCCACACACTGTAGGGGTCGATGCGGAAGGGGGCAAGGAGCCTCTGGTAAGTCAAACAACATTGCTGACGACCACAGCGGTTCTTCAAGGGAAGCCGTTGGTCCTAGTACTTGAAGATGATGCCACACCCAGAAACATGGAAGAGAAGCTGGGAGAGAGAAAAGATGAAAGAAAAGAGGAGAGGAGAGAAGACTTTGCCTATGAGTGGTGGGAAGCAGTAGTACGTAGGAAAGATGATGCAAGAGGTGAAGGTGGTGGGGAGGGAATGGTGATGAGGTGGGAAACTCCTTGTCCTTCAGGGCAAATGGTACGCCGATTGGGTTGGGAGCCCGGCGATCTAGAGAGAGCTGTGGGAGTCTCGGGCGAGTATATTGCCAAGCATGGGCTGAGTCTAATCAGCGCGTATGTGGATGTAAAAGGTGCAGAGCCGCCATGTACGTCGTACCATGACAAATTCATGGGAACCGTTGATTACATCTGGCACACGCGCCATCTGGAAGCGGTTAGAGTTTTGGAAACAGTACCACCAGGGGTTTTGAGGAGATTGCCCGGGCTTCCGGCTGTCAATCAAGGCAGTGATCATATGGCTCTGGCTTGTGAGTTTGCCTTCATTGACCGGCTGGAAGGGGAGGAGAACGAGGTAGAGGAGAGGGAGGATTTCCCGAGAAGCCGCGGGTGGTGGCCGAAGATAGGGGTTGTGTAGGATTGATGATACACCGTGAGCATGCATGCTGGCCTTCTCTGGCTGGTCATGGACCGGGGCTGTCAAGGTCCTATCCTAGGTGGCGTCTGGTTTTGTGCAGCACCATCTAGTCCAGATTTGCGACTGTTTGCTCTACTACTGATCTTGCGTACGGGCATTCCTGTGTCCCTCAGTTCCACGGACCCCTTGTCACCTGGAGACAGGCGTTTCTTTAGCACGATTCTGGGCTCTCCCCATCTCATACACCTCTTGTACAGTTCGGTGACCCAGGTCGCACCTGAGGTATATATGAGAGAGAGAGAGAGAGAGAGAGAGAGAGAGAGAGAGAGAGAGAGAGAGAGAGAGAGAGAGAGAGAGAGAGA